GTGATGAGGGTGACTGTTACCTGTGTGTTCCGCCTGACCCGGGCATTGAGGCTGCTGCTCTAGGTGCTGGTGAGGCTGCTGCTCTAGGTGGTAGTGCGTCTGCTGCCCCATGTGCTGGTGAGTCTGCTCTCTCAGGTACTACGTCACAGGCCTTACACACCTTCACCCTTGACTCGGGTGCTTCCCGCTCCTTTTTTCGAGACCGCACCACGCTTACGCCACTTAGTCGGCCGGTTGAAGTCTCCCTGGCGGACCCCTCTGGGGGTCCTGTCCTTGCTAGCTTCTCCACTGTCTTACCATGCCCAGCAGCCCCCTCTGGCACTCTGTCCTGTCTCTACCTCCCCTCGTTCTCTACGAACTTGGTGAGTGGAGCTGACCTACAGGATAGGGGGGTTGACCAGTTCACTCCTGCGAGTCAGCGGGTGACCCACTGCACGTGTGCTCGGACAGGCCGACACTTGGCCACGCTCACCCGTCGGCCGGGGTCGAGCCTGTACACACTTACTACTGAGTCTCCTCCGGCTGCTGAGTGTGGTCAGGTAGCTCCGTCGAGCCAGGTGTTTGCTGCAGCGTCCAGGTCTGGTCCTGAGTCTGCTCCCTGCTCGTGTCGTCTCTTGTCCCACAAGACTCTCCTTTGGCACCACCGCCTTGGTCACCCCTCCCTGCCTCGTCTCTGAGGCATTGCCTCCCGTGTCCTTGTCTCTGGTCTCCCCTGGTCTCTCCCTCCACTACCTCCGGGGCCTGCCCCTTCCTGCGTCCCCTACGTCGAGGGGCGAGAGCGCGCCGCCCCTCACTCCTCCGAGTTTCCTCCGACTGAGGCTCCGCTACAGACTCTTCACATGGACGTGTGGGGCCCCGCCTGCATCCGTGGGCAGGAGCACGAGCATTACTTCCTGTTGGTGGTTGACGACTACTCGCGTTACAGCACAGTCTTCCCCTTGCGCAGCAAGGGCGACGTCACTGAGGTGTTGATCGACTGGATCCGCGCAGCTCGTCTCCAGCTCAAAGAGAGTTTCGGCTCGGACTTTCCTGTTCTGTGTCTGCACTCTGACAGAGGTGGGGAGTTTTCCTCTGCCCATCTGGGAGCCTTCTGTCGAGCACAGGGCATCCGCCAGACCTTCACGCTTTTGGCCTCTCCACAGCAAAATGGGATTGCTGAGCGCCGCATTGGCATGGTCATGGACGTCGCTCGTACGTCCGTGATCCATGCGGCTGGCCCCCATTTTCTATGGCCGTTTGCGGTTCAGTACGCAGCGCATCAGCTCAACCTCCACCCCCGGGTCTCCTTGCCAGAGACCTCCCCCACTCTGCGGTGGACGGGGAAGGTTGGCGATGCGTCTGCGTTTCGGGTCTGGGGATCTCGGGTGTTTGTTCGCGACTTGTCTGCGGACAAGCTGTCCCCCCGTGTTGTTCCCTGCGTCTTCCTTGGCTTCCCCCCTGACGCGCCTGGGTGGCAGTTTTACCACCCCACCTCGCGCCGTGTTCTGTCCTCCTAGGACGTCAACTTTGATGAGTCGGTGCCTTACTACCGTCTCTTCCCCTACCGCACTGCGCCCCTCCCCCCGCCGCCACTCTTCCTTGCGCCAGGTCCTCCCCCGGTAGACCCCCTGGCCCCTCAAGGTCCTACCGCGTCAGGTGTGTCCCAAGTAGACGCAGTCGAGCCTGTCGAGGTAGCTGTTGACTCTGGTGCTGCTAGAGGTGCTGAGCCTGTAGGTGCCGGGTCTGGAGGTGCTGAGCCTCAGGGTGCGTAGCCTGGGGGTGCTGAGTCTGGGGGTGCTGAGTCTGGGGGTGCTGAGCCTGGGGGTGCAAGGTCTGGGGGTGTTGAGCCTGGGGGTGCTGAGTCTGGGGGTGCTGAGCTTGAGGGTGCGGAGCCTGGGGGTGCTGGGTCTGCTCGTGTAGCCTCTCGCGGTGCTTCGTCGAGGCGGGAGCTACTCTCTCCGCAGGATTGCGCGAGTGGTTTGCCCGGCGCTGGAGCGGTGCTACCGGAGTTGGAGGTACTACTGTTGCTGCTGGTCCCAGAGGTGCTCGTACTGGCGTTCTGGAGCTGCTGGGGCTGGGGGTGCTACTGGGGCTTCTGGAGTTAGTCCTGCTGGAGGTACTGCTGGAGGTGCTGGCGGTACTGGAGCTGCCGGTCCTACTGGAGTTGGTGCTGCTGGAGCTACTAGAGCTACTAGAGCTGGAGCTGCGGGGGGTGTTGGCGCTGGTGGTTCTGCTGGCGCTGGTGCGTTTGAGGGTGCTGGAGTTGGCGCTCTTGGAGCTGGAGGTGCTGCTGGCGCCGGTGCTGCCGCTGGTGGTACTGGTGCTGTCCCTGCTAGTTCTGGAGGCGCTGCGCGGCCGAGGTCGTTCTTCATTCCGCTCCTTGATTAGGTTCTTGGTCTCACGCCCTCTACTGGTCCTTCTCCTCCCTTAGAGTGTCCACAGCCTGTCCAGTCGCGGTCACAGTTACAGCCCGCCTCCCCCCTGCCTGCTCCTTCTCCCTACACTGGTCCTACTGGAGGTCTTGCTGAGCGTCGTGAGCCTGAGTCGCCTGCTCGTACTGCTCGCACTAGTCGTCGTGCTCTGCTTCCGAGTCCTCCTGCGGTCCCAGGCACACTCCAGATGGCACTGCGTCCTTCCACTGCTCCTCTGCGTGTCCCGTTGCCGTCTCCTCCAGAGTCCTCTCTTCCTGTCCTTGCTGACCCGGAGTCTGACTCTCTTCGTGCTGCCAGTCCTACTGTCACGCGTTTCCTGGCCACTGTTGTCACTGACCCTTCCTTTGAGTCCACTGCTGCGTCGACCCTAGTTGCTGAGCTTGTCGACTTTGCTGCTCGCTGTCGTCTAGACTACGCTTCTAGTCTTGTTGCTGAGTCTGAGTCTGTCTATCCTCCGTCCGTTGGGGGTGAGTGTGCTCTTAGCACGGACGTCCTTGAGGACAGGCAGGAGGAGTTCCAGTGTTTTGCTGCTGCTTTGCCTCATCTCGTGTCCACGTTGATTGCCCCTGAGGGAGACCCAGATGCACCAGACATCCCGACTCCTCGATCGTATGCTAAGGCAATCGAGGATCCCTACTCCTCACAGTGGCAGTCAGCCATGCACGCAGAGATGGCATCCTGGAAGTCCACAGGCACCTATGTCAACGAGGTTCCCCCACCTGGGGCGAACATCGTCAGTGGCATGTGGATTTTCAGGGTGTAGCAACCGTCGGGTTCTCCGCCTGTCTTCAAGGCGCGTTACGTGGCTCGAGGCTTCAGTCAGCGGCAGGGAGTTGACTACTTTCAGACCTTCTCTCCCACCCCGAAGATGACCACTCTTCGGGTGCTGCTGCACATAGCCGCTCAGCGTGACTACGAGCTTCACTCTCTTGACTTCAGCACAACTTTCCTGCAGGGCAGACTGCACGAGGAGATCTGGCTGCGCCGCCCACCTGGCTTCACTGGGTCGTTTCCTCCTGGTACCCAGTAGAGCCTCTGGCGGCCAGTCTACGGTCTCCGCCAGGCGCCCCGTGAGTGGCACGACACACTGAGGACTACACTTGCGGCTCTTGGGTTTGCTCCTTCTACAGCCGACCCGTCGCTGTTTCTGCGCATCGACACCTCTTTGCCGCCGTTCTACCTCCTCGTGTACGTCGACGACTTGGTCTTTGCCACTGCTGACACTGCTGGACTCGCCCACGTGAAGTCCGAGCTGCATAAGAGACACACGTGCACAGACCTGGGTGAACTGCGCAACTACCTTGGCTTGCAGATCACCCGGGATACAGCACAGCGCACCATTACCCTGACTCAGTTACACATGGTGCAGCAGGTCCTTCAGCGCTTCGACTTCACGTACTCCTCGCCTCAGGCCACTCCTCTGTCTACTCGCCATTCGCTCTCATTTCTGCCTTCGGATGAGTCCGTAGAGCCGAGTGGCCCGTACCCAGAGCTTGTTGGCTGCCTCATGTACTTGATGACCTGCACACGACCTGACCTTGCATACCCTCTTAGCATCTTGGCACGCTATGTTGCTCCTAGGAGACACAGACCAGAGCACATGGCTGCAGCGAAGAGGGTGTTGCGCTACTTGTGCAGTACGTCGGGCATGGGGCTAGTGCTTGGAGGGCGACGTCGAGTGGTCCTCACAGGTCATGCAGACGCTTCTTGGGCTGACGACCAGGCTACGCAGCGGTCGTCACAGGGTTACACCTTCAGCCTTGGCTCCGGCTCTGTTTCGTGGCGGTCTACCCGCTCGTCTTCTGTTCTCGGCTCCAGGAGAGCCGCCTCGTTCTCCTCCAGTTCTGTACGTAGACAACAAGGCCATGCTGGCCTTGTGTCGGGAGCACAGACTGGAGCATCGAACAAAGCACATTGCTCTCCGCTACTTCCTTGCTCGTAAGCTGCAGCAGCGTGGTCAGCTGCGCCTTGCTTACGTGGCCTCTGAGGCCAACACTGCTGATATCTTTACCAAGGCACTTCCGCCTGGTGATCATCAGCGCTTCTGTACTATGCTAGGTCTTGTGCCTAATTGGCCTCACTTGCTCACTTCTTGACCTTGCTTGTACTGTGATCTTTCTATACCTGCACTTGCCTGTTTACCTTTATATATCATCTTGCATGTGAACTGGCCTTGTGGCCTTGCTCTTGTGCTCGGATTGTGTGGTGACGTTGTGATCCACCCTGAGCTTGCTTTGCTTTGCTTGACTGGTCTTGTGACCTCTTGTTCTCCCCCACTTAGCCTATGGGGGTGTGTCAAACTCATATCATATAGCTTGTCTAGGCTATAGTGGGGTAGACACTATGGGCTACAGTTTCCTAGGGTTTCCTACTTGTACCCAACCTTGTGCTAGTTTATTCATTCCTCATTCTTCACAGGTACTCTATTTGAGTATATCCGAGTTATACCCCCCTAAATGGCTCATGACGTTATAAGACCCATCCTAGAAAAGGGCGTATTTTCAGTGAATGCAATAGAAAATGGTCATATTCGATGTTCAGGTAGAGCCATCACACCCATGAACGCTTATGCATATGCTCATTATCAATCTAATCCTGGCCAGCAACCCAGATCTCTGCCTCCTCCCCATCATATTGCCCTTCTGCCCACCACTCATCGCCATCCTCCTCACCCACTCCACCCTCCACCTCCGCACTGCCTTCTTCCTCACCCTCCTCACCCTCCTCGTCCTCCTCCTCGTCCCCCTCCTCCTCCTCCTCCTCCTCCTCCTCCTCCTCCTCCTCCTCCTCCTCCTCCTCCTCCTCCTCCTCCTCCTCCGTCCCCTCCTCCTCCTCAGATGGAGAGGAGGCAGCATCCCTGTCCTTGCTGGAAGGGGCAGCAGGATCAGGGTAGAAAGGGTTGGGGATGAGCTCTTCGAGCTCCTCGCACACATCCTCCAGCACCTCCACGCCCGCCTTATCACGGAGGTGAGCGAGGATCAGATGATCCTCACTTCCGTCAACGGCGGTGGAGATGCCGCAGGTTACAAAGGCTTTCTTAATCAAATCTTCTGGGACGTCGGCCCATGCCTACGCAATCTAGCAGAGAACCTTCTCCAGGGGAGGTTTCTTCAAACTCTCTGCGGGAAATGTCATGGGTAGGGGCAGACCTGAGTCACCACGCGGTCAAGGTACACAGTGAAACGGGTACAACTCACATGCTCACCTGCAGGGGTGAATGAGTCAATCCCCTCGTCCTGGGACCACGTGGAGTAGCGGTGGCGGATCCCGGCTTTGAAGATGCGGTTCACCGAAACGTCCAAGGGCTGTACCAGCGAGGTGCAACCGCCAGGGATCACCGCCGCGTCAGCTTGAACAGCTTCATCGTCTGGCCGACTGCTTCCGTGGTGTGCCCTCGGTAGGAGTCGAGGATGAGGAGCGCATCCTTGCGGTGCCTTTCCTCTTCGCGGTGCGGCTTCAGGAAGGGGACGAGAACCTTCGTTGTCTAGTCTTGGACAAGGTTCTCGTCAATCCAGCCCTTTTCATGGGCTCGCAGGACAACACCTGCACAACAAAAAAGAAACATTAGCGGTGGAATTCCTTCACCAAACTTCGGCATAACATCCGGTAAGTCACAACTCACCTCAGGGTATAGGGATCTTCGGCAAGGTCTTCCGCTTGAAGACCACATAAGGAGGGAGCTTCAAGTCACCCGCGGTCACCGCCAGCATGACCGTGGTGCGCTGCTTCTCGTACCCCGCGGTGCGCACGTGCACGGTCCGAGCACCTTTCATCTCGAGGGTGCGCTCGGCAGGCATCTCAAGGAACAGGGGTGTCTGATCCGCGTTCACGATCAGGTTGAAGGGGTAGGAGTTGAGCACGCGCATCTGCCTCACGAATTCCCAGAAGGCCTCGCACCTCTGCTTGCAATCTGCATCGCACGGGATAAGGGGGTGTTAGGCCAGGTGGATATGGTACGACTTGACATCTGAAAACATTGGGTAGGCCGAGGTCAAGGTACCTGCAGCGAGGTTCTACCCAATCTTTGTCTTCACGTGTTGCGCTAGTGACCACCGCCTGCGGAACCGCTTTGTCCAACGGTGGGACGAACACCACTTCGCCTGGGGGTGGCGATGCTTCATGTAGGTCGCCGCCCAACTCTGCAGCAAACTCATGGAAACCGGCAGGCCTCTCCTACGGTGCAACAGGAACCTGCGGTAGACCGCAACCTCCATATCGGGGTACTTGGGCTTTCGTCCCGCACCAGTGAGACGTTGGCGACACCCTGCCCGTCAGAATGTTATCTTATGCTCTAGCCTGTAGTGGGGTGCTCTATAGCGAGTACAACCCTTCTAGGGTTTGCTATTTGTATCCCCATTCTTGCTAGTGCAATCACTCTTCTCTCTTCTAAAATTTATCATGCTATCAGAGCGATTTACGTCCTGGCCTATGGGCCCGCCAATATGCTTCCGCTGCTATTTTTCCCGGTCGCGCGCCTAGGGCGCGTGGCGATTTTCGTCTTGTCCCGCCCCCGGTTGGCGAGTGACTCCTCCTCTGCCTGTCGCGCGCCCTGTGGCACGCGACGGTGCCCTAAACCTGCCCGTCGTGCGCCCCGTGGCACGCGACGGTGCCCTGCTCGTCGTGCGCCCCGAGGCACACGACCGGGCCCTAAACTTAAACTTACCCGTCGTGCGCCCCGTGGCACGCGACGGGCCTCTCTGCACCTGCTCTCCCTGCAGCCGCCCCTGACCTACCTGCCCCGACACAGTGTAGCCGCTCTGTGGCTTTCTTCCCGCCCACCCCCTCCTCCTTTGTCTCCCTGCAGCCGTGGGGTGGAGGGTATGGGGGTGGCGGGTGTTGGAGCTTTCGGTCGTTTCCTTCCCTTCCCCTCCTCCTCCTTTCGTTCCCACTGCTGCAGTTGCCGCTTGGGGGGAGGGTGTGAGGGTGTGGGGGAGAAGGGGGATTGGCACCAGGGTGGCGGGTGTGAGGCAACCAGCAGCCGTCCCTCCACCTCTCCTCTCTCCCCCCCCTCTCTGCTGCTCCTGCAGCAGTGTGGGGGAGGGGAAGGAGGAGGGTGAGGAGATGGAGGGGGTGACCATCCAGAGTTAGCCCGCCTGCAGTACCTGCTGTTGCTTGTTATTATTTTGCATGGTGTACCCCCTCAGGGGGCGTAACTATACTTCTACCTACACGCACTTATGGAGGCGTGTCGAAATATGATTGACATATTTTATAACTGCTCGTAGTTGTAGTGTAGTTATTGTGCTTTGTAGGTGGTGCACCAATTCCATTTGCTTTCCTTGTATAAGTCTTGAAACTTTCTAATGCAAAACACTTTTCCAACTCACTCAACTCTCACCCTTGGCACGAACTACTCGAACTCGTTGGCCTAGGCTACTAAGCCTAGGCCGTCCTATTCTCTCACCTACCTACCAAGCTAGTATTTTGATATGCTATCAGAGCAGGTTGATCCCCTTGGATCGATCCTGTGGGTGGGTTACCACCTCCTCGCTTCCGCTGCAACTACCTTTCACTACTCTCTGAGCCGCACGCCCCCTGGTGTGCGGCACTTTTTCTTCCCGCCGTGCGCCCCGAGGCGCGCGGCGGTTTTCTGCCCGCCGTGCGCCCCGAGGCGCGCGGCGGTTTTCTGCCCGCCGTGCACCCCGAGGCGCGCGGCGGTTTTCTGCCCGCCGTGCGCCCCGAGGCGCGCGGCGGTTCTCTGCCCGCTGTGCGCCCCGAGGCGCGCGGTGGGCTTCTGCCCCGTTGTTCGCCGCGTCGCCCTCTGGAGGCGCCGCGACGGGCGACGGGGACCCGTCGCGGCGCACCGAGGGCACGCGCCTCGGCCCCGTCGCCCTACCTGCGCCCCGGCCCCGCCTGCGGCCCCGGCCCCGACGCCCTACCTGCGCCCCGGCCCCATCGCCCTACCTGCGCCCCGGCCCCGGCCCCGCCTGCGGCCCCTTTTCCCGTCGCCCGTCGCGGCTCCCTCGGGAGCCGCTTACCTGGGGGAGGGGGGCGAGCGCCGCCCCTTCTGCTGCCTGTCTTGACGCCCTGGGAGGCCGCGCGTCGGTCCCCCCCCCCCCCCCCCCCTCCCCCGTAACCTCCCTACCCGCCATCCCGCCCTGCCTGTGTTAGGGTTTGGGGAGTGGCGAGTAGGGGGTGGCGAGTATGGGGGTGGCACTTCTGCATTCCTCCCTTTGCTCCTCCTCCTCCTTTGTCTCCCACTGCAGCAGCTGTCGCTGAGGGGGGTGGATGTGTGGGAGACTGGGGTTTAGAGTTTAAGGGGGGTGCGTGGGAGTGGAGCTAGCGGTGTAGCAGCGGGTGTGTGCCAGGGGGAGTGGGATAGTTTGGGGAAGCTGTATGGAGGTTGCCGTCGTGTCGCCAGCAGCACCTGTATTCCGGGGACTTCGTCCGGTAGCCCAGTCATAGCCAGCTGTGCCAGCCGCCCGTGGGTCCGTTGCTCGTCTGCCGCTACTTTAGCCGCGGGGCCTGTTATTCCTGTATTCCGGGGACTTCGTCCGGTAGCCGCTGTGCCAGTCTGCCTCCTGTTGCCCGTGTGTCTGCAGCTTCAGCCGTCGCCTCCTATCTCCTCTCCTCTCACTCTCTCTCCTCCTCCTCGCTTTCCCGTTGTGACTACCACTGGCTTTGCTCATAATTGTGAACTTTAAACTATTGCTTCTTGAACTTGTGCTCAGAATGTGTGGTGACATTGTGATCCACCCTGAGCTTGTACTGCTTTGCTTGCTCTGCTGCTTACACCCCACTTTGGCTATGGGGGTGTGTCAGAATGTTATCTTATGCTCTAGCCTGTAGTGGGGTGCTCTATAGCGAGTACAACCCTTCTAGGGTTTGCTATTTGTATCCCCATTCTTGCTAGTGCAATCTCTCTTCTCTCTTCTAAACTTTATCACTGCCGATTTGTCGAGCCGCTCCTTCAAGCCGCGGATCTGCTTTGGCTGGACTTTGGCGAGCCTGGCCAGACCCCAGACGCTCATAGGGGGCTGCGCGTCAGGCATCTTGACCCAGTAAAGCTTTTCCTTGACGGTGTAAGCTTTCCGCGCTTTCTGCGTTCGTCGGCGCCTTGGCTCCGGCGTCTCTACGTCGCGCACCCGCTTCTTCTGTCCCCGCGGTCGGCTTGAAACCGGAAACTCTGGAACCTTCACCTGCGGAAACGGACGGTGTGGGCTACCGCTGGACTCCTTATCTTTCTCCTTGCTGCTAGAGGAACTTAGCGTTGGCATGACGGGCCTGGGCGACGGCCTAGGAACAGGAGGATTCTGAACTTTCTTGCGGCGCCTGCGTCGAGCACCGGACGTCCCATTATCTGGTGATGTCACCATGGCGGCTAAAGTGGGGATAAAGTGGCTGCTAGCTTCGAGGTGAAATAGAACAGGCAGCCATTTTCTACATGGCAGCCAGCCGAGCACATGAAGGGGGAAAGAAATTGGAGGGGGAAGTGAAGACAACCCTCACAAACAAGGACGTGCCAGGAGATCCCGCCCTTTCCAAGTCCCGTGCAGCCCGCACGAAGCGTGCATGGGGTGTGAAGGTCGAGACGACACTGCTCGCTGGGCCCATCAAACGGTGTGGTGTTTGTGGCCAATGGGAAGAGGCTCCGAGACAGGGTTCGTGATGACGTGGGTTTGGCCCGTGTGGAGACCAGTTCGAGTATCTTTGGGAGGTGCTAAAAACGGAACAATTCCAATTCAATTATTTTGAGCTCCAAAACAATAGTCTTAAAAGGTCAATTTGAAAAGACCCGGGTCTTATAAAACCCTAGGGTCTTATATACGGGGTTTTACGGTAAGTGCATATCATTATTCAAAACCATACCGGTACGCGGTATAAAGAGATTTGTGGTACAGGTAGCTTTATGAATGTAACAAGTACTACATCGATAGGGAAAGCCCTTTCGTGCTACCGTACCATACACACTTTTGTTGGTCAAGGGCTAGTTGAAGTGCTACGAGGTCTACTCTCGTCAGAAGGCCTGTTTCTGCTTGCACACGCATGAGAGCGCTTCTTTTGCAATGAGAACTCGGAAACTCAATGGGATAGAACATAATGGGCAGAGACAAGAACAAGAACCAGGAGCAGCCTACCCCCAAGTGTATCCTACCTCAGCACATCCTGAGCAGCAGCATTGGCATGGGTGTGTCAGCATTACTCCACCTTCCCGTGACCCAGCACCCCCCCATGGACCTTGGCATGGCTGTCCGGCATTCCAGGGGAGACGGGGCCATTGGAGGGGGAGGAGTGGGGGGAGGCGTGGGGGGAGGCGTGGAGAGGCGGCAGCGGCGGGATGTACTTGAGCCCCACCAGGTCCGCCACCTCGTCCAGCACCTGGGGGGAGTGGGGGGGGGGGGGGGGGGGGGATCAGGGGGGAGAGAGGAGAGGAAGAGGGCGAGTGAGAGGGAGAGGGAGAGAGGAGGGAGGGGAGGGATGTTGCATCAAGCGACGAGTGTGTGGGCATGGCACAGACGCTGGGTTGATAGTGCGCAAGGAGACGCCCATGTACTCATCCGTGGACGGCCTCACTGCTGACCTCGCGATGCAGCACCGTGACTCAGGCGCAGCTTGGACGGGTGATTGTAACATCACCAGGGGCGAGCTTGCTAGCACGGGGAATGGCTGGGCAGCAGACGGAACGATGTCTCACTCACGGCACCGGGGCTCACTCACGGCACCGGGGCTCACTCACGGCACCGGGGCTCACCCACGGCACCGGGGCTCACTCACGGCACCGGGGCTCACTCACGGCACCGGGGCTCACTCACGGCACCGGGGCTCACTCACGGCACCGGGGCTCACTCACGGCACCGGGGCTCACTCACGGCACCGGGGCTCACTCACGGCACCGGGGCTCACTCACGGCACCGAGGCTCACTCACGGCACCGGGGCTCACTCACGGCACCGGGGCTCACTCACGGCACCGGGGCTCACTCACGGCACCGGGCTCACTCACGGCACCGGGGCTCACTCACGGCACCGGGGCTCACTCACGGCACCGGGGCTCACTCACGGCACCGGGGCTCACTCACGGCACCGGGGCTCACTCACGGCACCGGAGCTCACTCACGGCACCGGGGCTCACTCACGGCACCGGGGCTCACACACGGCACCGGGGCTCACTCACGGCACCGGGGCTCTTCCTCCTGGCAGTTGAAACGTACGGCTGCCCTTGCTCTGAGGTCCTCGATTTCATCAAGCTCGTAGCTAGGGCAGCGGCAAGGAGGCTCTTCACTGCGGATCCTACGACACCAGGCAGCTCAGCTGGGCAGTGCGAGCAGGCGCTGGCCTTCCATAACAAGGCCAACCTGCCCTCTCAGCCTGAGCACCCGCCTGTTGTTTCCCATTGAGGTTTGCGGTGTTTGCGGCAGATGTTTGCGGTGCAATAGCTTTAGGTTACTCACCTTCTCTATCTGTTTGCGGTGCAATAGCTTTAGGTTACTCACCTTCTCTATCTGTTTGCGGTGCAATAGCTTTAGGTTACTCACCTTCTCTATCTGTTTGCGGTGCAATAGCTTTAGGTTACTCACCTTCTCTATCTGTTTGCGGTGCAATAGCTTTAGGTTACTCACCTGCTCTATCTGTTTGCGGTGCAATAGCTTTAGGTTACTCACCTTCTCTATCTGTTTGTGGTGCAATAGCTTTAGGTTACTCACCTTCTCTATCTGTTTGCGGTGCAATAGCTTTAGGTTACTCACCTGCTCTATCTGTTTGCGGTGCAATAGCTCTAGGTTACTCACCTTCTCTATCTGTTTGCGGTGCAATAGCTTTAGGTTACTCACCTGCTCTATCTGTTTGCGGTGCAATAGCTTTAGGTTACTCACCTGCTCTATCTGTTTGTGGTGCAATAGCTTTAGGTTACTCACCTTCTCTATCTGTTTGCGGTGCAATAGCTTTAGGTCACTCACCTGCTCTATCTGTTTGCGGTGCAATAGCTCTAGGTTACTCACCTTCTCTATCTGTTTGCGGTGCAATAGCTTTAGGTTACTCACCTTTTCTGTCTGTTTGCGGTGCAATAGCTTTAAGATACTCGCCTTTTCAATCTGTTTGCGGTGCTATAGCTTTAAGATACTCACCTTCTATATCTGTTTGCGTTGCAATAGCTTTAAGATACTCACCTTCTCTATCTGTTTGCGTTGCAATAGCTTTAAGATACTCACCTTTTCTAACTGTTTGCGGTGCAATAGCTTTAAGATACTCACCTTCTCTATCTGTTTGCGTTGCAATAGCTTTAAGATACTCACCTTTTCTAACTGTTTGCGGTGCAATAGCTTTAAGATACTCACCTTTCCTATCTGTTTGCAGTGCTATAGCTTTAAGATACCCACCTTTCCTATCTGTTTGCGGTGCTATAGCTTTAAGATACTCACCTTTTCTATCTGTTTGCGGTGCAAGAGCTTTAAGATACTCACCTTTTCGATCTGTTTGCAGTGCTATAGCTTTAAGATAGTCACCTTTTTTATCTGTTTGCGGTGCAATAGCTTTAAGATACTCACCTTCTCTATCTGTTTGCAGTGCTATAGCTTTAGGATACTCACCCTTTCTATCTGTTTGCGGTGCAATAGCTTTAAGATACTCACCTTCTCTATCTGTTTGCGGTGATATAGCTTTAGGATACTCACCTTTTCTATCTCTTTGAGGTGCTATAGCTTTAGGATACTGTAACACCCCGGATATAAGACCCCCTCCAGTTGTAGACCCCCAGGGCTATAATACGGAGGGGGGTATGCTAAATAGGTCGTTTATAGTTATACCCCCCTAAATGGGGGCTAACGTTATAAGACCCCCCTCCCCCTGGAGAATTGGTCAATTCATAGGCAATGAATGCAATTCTGATTGCTTTTCTACCCTTTTCCTCACCAAATCCCATAAAATGTTCGTTAACGAGGCGTAACAGCCAGTCACAAAAGCACATCTACAAATCATCCTGTCCATTCCGTTTATTCATTTGAATGCTAAAAACAAAATTCATTCCGCGTAAAAAAGAAACGGAGCACATAGTATTGAGATGTATGGCTTCCAAAACACGAGTAATATACATGACCTTATGATAAGACCCGGTTCTTATAAAATGTAGCCAACTGTTAAGAAAACCCCCATCTTTGGGTGGGATTCTTATAATAGCCCCGGGTTTTTTATCCGGGGTATTACGGCACTCAAATTTTCTATGTGTTTGCCTGTTCCTCCTGTGCCCAACATATAGTCATACAAGGACCGCTTGAAAGGTGAGGGGCCGTGATGGGATGGGCACAAGTGTGGGTTCAGGGATTATTGAAAGAGCGAGAGAGAGATCCCTCAGCTCTGCGCCCTCTGCCCTCTAACCTCTGCCGTCTGTCCCCTACCCATGCAGCACCTGCTGACTGTCCGTCAGCAAGCACAGGTGCCCCGGGGACTCCATGGAGCCAGTCACGTGGTTCGGGGACTCCATGGAGCCAGTCACGTGGTTCGGGGACTCCATGGAGCCAGTCACGTGATTCGGGGCAGCAGCAGCACTGTGACGTGACGACCCCGCACACACCCGCCACCACAACCCCATGAGCAGTACGCAGCTCAGCGCACCAACTGCTCGCCGCCTATGAGTCGCGGAGGAACAAATGGAGCCTTCGCCGCTCCTCCTCCCGCCCCAACAAGCCGTGCCTCCGCTCGAAGGCCATCCTCGGAGGTCAAAGCAGAGGAGATGGGGGCGATGGGGCCCTGGACGAGAGACTCGCCCTGGACGAGAGACTCCAACGTGCCGCCCTGCGCCCACCGCAGGTGCTGTCCAGCGAGGAGGGCAGGGCGCTGTCCAGCAAGGAGGGCAGGGCGCTGTCCAGCAAGGAGGGCAGGGCGCTGTCCAGCAAGGAGGGCAGGGCGCTGTCCAGCAAGGAGGGCAGGGCGCTGTCCAGCAAGGAGGGCAGGGCCTGGAGTGCAGGTGTACTTGGCAGTCACTGTGCACGCCATTCCTCCCGCGCCCACGGCTGCTACACTGCCCGCACTCACCACCTGACTTGAACTACCGGTACCCAGCCACGGGCCAGCTGCCCGGCGGGACAGAGGACAGCATGGTTTATCACAACCAGCACGCACCTCGCCCCGACCATGACGCTGCCCCGACCAACCATGACGCTGCCAAGTGGATGCGGCACAAGTGGATGCGGCACAAGTGGATGCAGCACAAGTGGATGCGGCACAAGTGGATGCAGCACAAGTGGATGCGGCACAAGTGGATGCGGCACAAGTGGATGCGGCACAAGTGGATGCGGCACAAGTGGATGCGGCACAAGTGGATGCGGCACAAGTGGATGCGGCACAAGTGGCTGGCCGAGCGCGGGAACTTGGTGAAATCCCTGCGAGCCACTCCAGGCTTGACGCCATCGCCACAAGTCCTTTGTGCCTTAGCATCAAGTCACCCAGAGGCTACCCAACCAGTCCCTGACGGGGTGGCTGCTTTCAGCCCAGAGATCGTCCTATCTATACCGACCCGCGACATCCGTCACATTCACCCGCTGTACCGCTCACAAGCGTGTCACAAAATTCAAGGGCTAACTTCGGCTATTTGCTCCGTTGCGCAACGCGCTGCTTCAGCGGCCCTACAACTAGTTAAAGCAATCATACAAGAAATGTTGAAGGGTTATGCACGCAATCGCGATTTAACCGCCGCATTCACCCACGTTACCGCCGCATTCACCCACGTTACCGCCGCATTCACCCACGTTACCGCCGCATTTACCCACCTTACGACTGCACTCACCTCCCCGGGACAACCTCTGCGCTACGGCCTCAAACATTGCCCCTCATGTCTCCTGCACTACATCACAATTTCACCGCCGAGCCTGCGGATAATGAGCAGGCCCATGGGCACAACGGCTGCGTGCACGACACTGGTGACGGAGCGCCTTGCCGTAGCAGCTGAGCCTCGCCCGGTCATGGCGCACATGAACCCCCGGCTGTGCCGCCTGCTCCCCACACACTGTGTCAGCCGGCGGGCTTCTTCCTCGCCACAATGACACCCATGGCGCCCATGCCAGCAGAAGAGTGGTGGGCGTGGGGGAAAAGCCTCCTCAGCACCTATCAGAAGCGCATGTCGCCATCTGCGATCTCAACTCCGGCAAGGTGTGGCTCTGCCACATCACAATTGCAAACCCAATCTGTCACCAGGACCCCCTCGCTAGTTGCGCTCCTGGCTGAGCCGCAAGGGCGGGTGCAACTGGAAAAGAGGCACACTTGGGTGGGCTTCCATGTGCTCGCGCGTGAGGCACATGGCTACCCCTTGCCAGGGGTTTGGAATGTCGTTTTTTCAAATAGACTGGTGCGAGCGTGAGAGATGAATGCATCTAAAGAGAGCACTTGCATCTCGAAACGTATTCACACCTTGAGGGCTCATTTGCACCTTGAGGGCGCATTCGCACCTTAAGGGTGCATTCTCACCTTGAGGGCTCATTCTCACCTTGATGGTGCATTCAAACCTTGCGGGCGCATTCGGACCTTAAGGGCGCATTCTCACCTTGAGGGCGCATTTGCACCTTGAAGGTGCGAAGGGATACTCTACACCGGGAGCTGGACTACAGGAGAAGGCACGAGTGGTATGAGTGATCGTGTCTTTCCTTGTGTTCTCTCTATTTTTCTATTTTCGTGTTCATAGAGTAAAACGTCAAGAGATTCGCGAGCAAAAGCTGAGAACGATGAATACACCTATCAAGCAAGCAGGTAGTCCTCCAGCTCAGCACGGGGGCGGCTTGCCAACAAAGCAAGTCGACAGTGTGCCAACACGGCTCAAAGGCGGCTTGCCAACAAAGCAAGTCGACAGTGTGCCAACACAGCTCAAAGGCGGCTTGCCAACAAAGCAAGTCGACAGTGTGCCAACACAGCTCAAAGGCGGCTTGCCAACAAAGCAAGTCGACAGTGTGCCAACACAGCTCAAAGGCGGCTTGCCAACAAAGCAAGTCGACAGTGTGCCAACACGGCTCAAAGGCGGCTTGCCAACAAAGCAAGTCGACAGTGTGCCAACACAGCTCAAAGGCGGCTTGCCAACAAAGCAAGTCGACAGTGTGCCAACACGGCTCAAAGGCGGCTTGCCAACAAAGCAAGTCGACAGTGTGCCAACACAGCTCAAAGGCGGCTTGCCAACAAAGCAAGTCGACAGTGTGCCAACACAGCTCAAAGGCGGCTTGCCAACAAAGCAAGTCGACAGTGTGCCAACACAGCTCAAAGGCGGCTCGCCAACGTTAGAAGCCGGCGACCTGCCAACAGCGCACCAGCGCGGCTTGCCAACACTGCAGCAAGGCGCCTTGCCAACGTTGCAACCACAGGTGACTATAGCGCACATGCGCGCACCACTTTGCAGGTGCTGGTTGACGGTTGCATGTCGTCCACCGTCACGCACGTCGTGCAGGTGTCAGGTCGGCTATGAGCCATCGGTTGCGCCAGATATGCCACGTCGACCTCGAGCTACCAGCCCGTAGGTCAATTTCGCCAAAACCTCCTGGGCAACATTTGTGCACCCGCGCTGAACTTCGTCGAACAGGTAACTATGCCGACCAGGTAATCCCCGGCGCCCACAAGTTGGCGCCTGCAAGTCGACGAACTCCTTCACTGTGGTCTTGCAGAAGTCGCCCAATTCTGACGACTTCCTCCTCGATGTCAGCGTCGTTCACTAACGGCAGCCGGCTGCACCTCCTACACACCTGGCTGAGATATCGGCTTCGCCCAAGCGAGGGCGGGGCCATTTTCCGTCAACAGTTGCGCATTCGCACCCTTGAGGGTGCAGTCTCACCTTGAAAGCGCATTAGCACCTTGAGGGCGCATTCTCACCTTGAGGGCGTACTCAAGGTCGGCGCGGGTGTGAGCGGCGGAGATGCAGATGCGGGCGCGGCCCAGCAGCACAGGCGTGGCGGGGAAGCCTACCACCACCACCGCCACCTGCTCACAACAAGCAGGTCAGGGAGCGTTCTTATGTCCGCTTCGTGTAGCGGTGTGGCGATGGGCAGATGGGGAGATGGGCAGATGGTAGCAGATTGGAATGGGAATGGACAAGTGTGGAGATTCACACAGCTGCGCATTTAAAAAGGGAATGGTGTCGGACAGTAGAAGCAAGAAGGCTCTGCGATGGCAAGGCACAGTGATGGCAAGGCACAGTGATGGCAAGGCATTTAACACCTTGTCAGGATCGAGCCTCCAGAGGCAGCAGTGGGTGGCAGCAGCGGGTGGCAGCAGCGGGTGGCAGCAGCGGGTGGCAGCAGCGGGTGGCAGCAGTGGGTGGCAGCAGCGGGTGGCAGCGGGGAGCGGGCGCTCACATGGCGTTTGAGGCATTCGCGGGAGAAGGCAGCGATCTTGCCGGGGTGGTAGATCATGATGGGCATCACGGGCGAGTCCTCATCGCCCAGCACCTCCAGCCCCAGGCGCTGCAGCTCCCCTCGGAACCAGTTGCAGTTCTCCCTCAGCTGCGCTAGCTTCTCCTGCCCTGCTCGCCCACCCCAGCGCGCACACATGGGCATAGGGGAACGTGAGGAGGAGGGGCGTGGGGGAGAGCACATGGGGTGCGGGCATGGAGCGGAGGTAGAGATAGTCATGTGGCGACTCATGGGGCATGCTAACTGCCATGCGCATGTGGGCGCAGCAGCTAAGGAGGAAAGTGCAGCCCCTGTGGAGGCGAGAGCAGCACACGAGCGTGGAGAGAGGTGGGGACAGCACAGGGAAGCTGACCTCTGGAGGAGCCGTCGTGGCCCAGCAGCAGCTTGAGCGCCGACAGGATCTGCTGCGCCGCTGCTGGAGCCATCGCCGTCCCGTACAGGTGCCCGGGGCTCGTGGCCTTGAGATACGCTATCAGCTCCTGGTGAGGCACACACAGATGGAGAGGGGGGAAGGCAGAGTGGAGGGAGTGGTGGGGATATACAAGTGCCATCGGCAGGTAAAACGATGTGTGCGATGGTTACAAGTGACGAAACGGGGAGGAGGCATGGGAGCAGAGAGCAGGTGAGCAGGGCGTGGGGAGCAGAGAGCAGGTGAGCAGGGCGTGGGGAGCAGAGAGCAGGTGAGCAGGGCGTGGGGAGCGGGGCGGACGTGGGAGGCGGCGATGTAGCCACCGCAGGAGCCGAAGGACTTGGTGAAGGTGCCCATCAGCACGTCCACGTCAGCCGGGTCCACGCCCGCCACCTCGCACACGCCGCGCCCCGTGCGGCCCAGCGCGCCGATGCTGTGCGCCTCGTCGAGGAAGAGGTACGCCTTGTACTTGCGCTTGATGTCCACGATCTGTTGCAGGCGGCAGATCTCGCCCTCCATGCTGTAGATGCCCTCCACCACTATCAGCACCTTCTTCCACGGCCGGTGCGTGCGCGGCTGCCCCTCTGCTATCGCCGTGCGCAGCACCTGCTCCAGGTTCTCCGGCACTGCCCTCCCCACATGGGCACACGGTCGGATGAGGTGGGGTGAGGTGGGGACAGGGTGGGTGAGGCAGGGCGAGCAGGGAAGAGGCAACAGCGGGATGTGGTTTGACCACCTCATGCACATGCGGGCCCGTGACGCATGGGTTGCTTGCGAGGCATGGGTCGCGAGGCATGGGTTGCGAGGCATGGGTTGCGAGGCATGGGTCGCGAGGCATGGGTTGCGAGGCATGGGTTGCGAGGCATGGGTTGCAGGGTACGGCAGTATGGCCCAAGGGGCTTACGTTGAGCAAAAAGCCCAAAGCAGCAGGTGCGAGAGGGAGTGGATGGGCTGACGGAGAAAGTTTGCACAGAGGGGTTGGCAAGGCGACGAGCAGCGGGTGAGGAGTGCAGGTGGGCGCACCGTTGTGTTGGAAGACCTTGATGCCGGCACCCGACGCACGCGCTCCCGCGATGATGCTGCAGTGGTTGAGCGAGTCACTGATGATCAGACTCCCCTGCCCTCCACACATGGCAGCATGCAGTAGCACATCAAAGGATAGTCGCAGGCACAGGTATGAGTTGTGACTATGAGCTGGCAAAAATATGAGAAGCGCCTGCAAGTGAGTAGTGAGTGGTGAGAGGTGGGCGGGCAACGGCACACCTTGCCAACGAGGGCGCACCTTGCCAACGAGGGCGCACCTTGGCAACGAGGGCGCACCTTGCCAACGAGGGCGCACCTTGCCAACAAGGGCGCACCTTGCCAACGAGGGCGCACCTTGCCAACGAGGGCGGGCAGCGTGAGGGAGTTGGTGGCGAAGCCCATGCCGTACACGAGGGCAGCTGGCTTGCCGATGAACTCCGCCATGCACCGCTCCAACTCCACGTGCACCTCAGTCGTCCCTGCCAGTGCCCCCCACCCTCAATGCGCTGCGCGTTTAGATGTGCTTGAAGAGAGCCACATGCTAGACGCGCGTAAGTGCACCCATCAGAGTGAGGGAGAGCAAGGTGCATAGGTGTGAGGGGCTGACCTGCGTCGGTGTGAGGGGCTGACCTGCGTCGGTGCGGCTGCTGCAGGTGGAGGAGCCGAAGAGGCGCAGCGAGTCCTGAGCACGGGGAGTGCAGAAGGGGTCGGGCGCACCGAAGCCCAGGTAGTTGTACGACCCCAGGTTCAGACTCCGCACCACTGACTCCTTGCGCCTACCGCCCACCCGCCATCCCATACCCCATGCCCCATGCCACACCACATGGCACATGCACGTCCAAGGGTGAGTGGGTTGACAAGGGTAAGAAACGAGTGGTTGGTGAGGAAGGTGGCATGGCGTCCGAAGCCCGGAGATGCAACCATTGCAATGCTCATGCATGGGTTGGGGCAAGCGGCTCACACGAGGGTCTGGTTGTTGTCGTGTGAGTCGCGGTTGACGACGTCGATCCATGCGTCCGGCGCACTCGCGATGGGCCGGTTCCAACAGTCCTGCACCCCACCACCCCCGCACCGACGAGTCATAGACGTGAAGTCAGCAACGTGGCATAGACGAGCGTGGGGTGAGAGTGGGAGGCGCACCTGAAGGCGAGGGGCGCACCTGAAGGCGAGGGGCGCACCTGAAGGCGATAGTAGAAGCGGCGAGTGTAGAAGTCTTCAAAGTCGCGACACAGGGGTGCGTAGCCCTGCCACCACACAGCACAGCGGCACCACGCACGGCGATGAAGCACGGCGATGAGGCACGGCGATGAGGCACGGGGATGAGGCACGGGGATGAGGCACGGGGATGAGGCACGGGGATGAGGCGCGGGGATGAGTCACGGGAATGAGGCACGGGGATGAGGCACGGCCGCACGGGGATGAGGCGCAGGGATGAGGCACGGGGATGAGGCGATGAGCAAGCAGCAGCGATGGCGCCAGCACCGATGGCCGCGCAGTGAGTTCGCCTACGCACTGGGGGGCTCGCGATCGTAGCAGCAGCAGCAGCACGCGGCGATCAACCGGTGAGACCAGGCGGTGACGAGCTCGCAGCAGTGTCGCCATGCCCGCCGCCAAACTCACACTACCTCTCCGTTCGATCCACTCCGCTCGATCCTCTCTGCTCGATCCTCTCTGCTCGATCCTCTCTGCTCGATCCTCTCTGCTCGATCCTCTCTGCTCGATCCTCTCTGCTCGATCCTCGCTCAGTCAACGCGTGCTGCTCTCGTGGTGCTCGCTGCGAGATGCGACCCCACGAGCAGCGGCCTCAGCTGCCAGTGGCTACAGTGGCGCCGTCCGCCACGCACCTTCAACGTGTCCTTGAGCTGCGACACACCTTCAACGTGTCCTTGAGCTGCGGAAGCAGCGAGCGAAAGGTGTCGCGGATGTGGCCGAAGAGGAAGAGGAAGCCATAGCTGATGTACGTCGTGAGCGCCGCGAAGTACGGAATGTGAAGCGTCATGGCCGCCGCCTGGCGAATCGCGAAGCACTAGCACGACCAAAGCCGCTGAGCCCAAGGGCTGGTAGCTTGGCTTGCACACCCTAGGAAAGCGCGGAACTACGAGTGGCACACCAGCGATCAGCTCGTCAAATCCTGACAGATTTAGTAAGCGCGTGGAAACTTGGTTGGTTCCACGTCGTACGGCCGTGAATGGATCTCATCCCAGGGCCACCATGGCCGAATCGGAAGCCTTGAAGTTAGTTTCCTCAGCCCGAACTGTTGAAAAGAACGTGTTCTCAGAAGGGCGCGTGTGATCTGTTTTCAAGTTCGGAAAAAAGTCAAACTTTGAGTGGTTACTCACTTCGCCAATGTCGTCAAGAAGCTTTAGCACAGGCATGAGAATTTTGGGGGCACATAAGTGCCAATGTCAAATGTGAACTCAACTCGAGTCACATGGGTGTACGTGCGAGTGCACGTTGAGGCAAGGGTGTGCTGTTTTCAGCACGTACTAAGCCCATGCAAAAATCCCGATCGCTTTGCGAAGGTCGCTGAGTTTCGTTGCAGGGTAATTTGACGTGTCGCGCTATACCAGGTAACAACACCCCCAACGGGCGGCTCGCCGCCTTCCTTAAAAGGTCGAATCTCTGTGTTCGACCTTGGGTGTGTGATTGTGACTCGTCTGTGTTGGAGACCCAAGATTCGAACTGCGCTGCAAGGAAAGTCGAGTTTTGTTCTAATGCTACATTCGACCTAAAAACATAAGCTTTCACAATATTCTCGACATTCTTTACCGCAACCATCAACATCGCGTACAGCAGCAGCTGTTGTTCGCCCGTTACTGCTATTGGAGCTTCCCCGACTTCGCGCGCACTGTTTTACCAAACCATGCACTGCTGGCCTGGCCGAGTCGGACTACGCTTCGGGACTAGCCCGAACCTCGATGCAAGCCTAGCACTAGCTAGCTCGTACGCACCGCGTAACCGTTGCATGTTTTCGCACATAAGAATTCGCTCATGCCTTCGCTCATACTTAGTACTTTCGACCCACATAGTGCAATCCTCGCTACCTCATTCCATTGCACCCGTAACACTTGGTGTTCATAGCCACTTTTCGGACCGCACATCTCCGCACCCCAGGATCAACTTTTGATTTTTTGCTCGAAGGGAATCACGCCCCTTAGCATGCTGCCACGTAAACGCGTGCTGCCACGACTGCGCCTAGACTAAGCTGAGCTGACGCCCTTTGGAATGGCTGAACACATCGACGCCACGACACTCACGTAGCGTTTGAACGAACTGCTGCAGCAACTGCACGAAAGCTCCGAAGAAATTGAGGCGCTGACGGCAGAACTTACATCCATACGAAATGACGTCGCACGAATGCAATAAGCACAATCGCAAGCACCAAGCACACCAGAACAACCCGCACGACAAGCATCACAACACGGAAGTCTGGGGCAACCCTCGAGCGCGGCTAGTGATGGTGTCGCCCGCAACGATGGAGACGACGACCACTGCGCTATGTGAGAACTATATTGTAGGCTGTAGTGGGGTAGACAATATAGGGTACAACTCTTTTAGGTTTTCATACTTGTACCCACCTCCTTGCTGGTTCATTCGCTCCTCGTACTATTTTCACATAGTATAGAGCGGGTTCCCTAGTGGGACCGATTTTTTAGGGCCCACCACTTTTTTTTTTCCTGCCCTGCCCGAAGCGCGTCCTACCCCTGTCGCGCGCCTCGGACCTCCCTCACATGTGCCCCATGCGCCTATTCTGCCATCGCGGCCTTGCCGTCGCGGCCCCTGCCGTCGCGGCCTCTGCCGTCGCGGCCCCTGCCGTCGCGGCCCCTGCCGTCGCGGCCCTTGCCGTCGCGGCCCCTGCCGTCGTGGCCCCTGCCGTCGCGGCCCCTGCCGTCGCAGCCCCTGCCGTCGCGGCCCCCCTGCCGTCGCGGCCTTGTTGAAGCAGTCGCGGCCCTGCCCTACCGTCGCGGCCCTACCACCCTGCTGTCGCAGCCCTGCCCTGCCGTAGCGGCCCTGCCGCCCTGCCGTCGCGGCCCTCCCTAGAGCCGCCCTGCTGTCGCGGCCCTGCCTGGAGCCGTCGCGGCCCTGCCTGCCGCCGCCGCGGCCCTTCCTACGACCGCCGTCGCAGCCCAGTCGACGTCGCTGCGGCCCTGCCCTGCGCCCGCGTCGCTGCCCTGCACTGCCGCCTCGTCGCGGCCTTGCCTGACGCGGCCCTGCTCTAGGAAGGTGATTTCCGCGGCAGGCTCAATCCGCTCGTGAATTGAAGCCATGATTCCGGCAGCAGCGAGAGCATCTTCAAGCACTTGGTCTGCTCCGGGTAGGTGATTCCCGCAGTCGCCAACTTTGCGTAGAGGTGACGCATCTTGTCCAGGACAGGTTGCACCGGCTCTCCCTCGCTCAGGCGCAACGCGGACAGCTCCCTCTCCAGCATCAATATTGCAACAACGGAAGCTGGGGCGTGGAACTCCTTCAACACGGTCCTTGCCTTCGGACCGAACTCAACCTCTGGCAGCAGGTGCATAACGTGGTGACGCTGGTTCAGCTCCTTACTCAGCGACATCAAATAGTAGCCAGCCGAGGAGCGCTTGTCCCAGTCTTCCTGCAGCGTGGGGTCACTCAGTCTAGGCTCCTCCCCAATCATTAGTTTCAGCAATCCAATCTGACGGAAATATAGTTGAATCTTCCAGGCCCAATCATCATAACCCTCACCGTTGAACTTCTCGACGGTGAATTTCTTCAGCACCTCCTTGACCAGCGAGCCCTGGTTTGTTCGCGCTCCCCTTGGCGATGAATCGCCAGAATCTTGGCTGCTGCTACGATCTTGGGTTGAAGATTCACCAGCTCCCGTCGAGATGTTGCCCGCCATAGCTACCTATAACGAGAATCACTATAACGCAGCTCTGATACCAGCTTGTTGGTGTAAGGGCCGAATAAATTCAAACTACTTAGACTTAATCAAACTTAATACCTCTCCTCGGAGTCACCTCCAAGGGTCCTTGGGTGCCTGATACAAGACCAGCCACTATCTTCAGGTCCGAGTTTGTCCGAGCCATAACTTCGTAATGGCATAACTTTTTGCGAGGCAACTTGGTTCATTTCTCAGCTTAATCTGATCAACGGTCTCCATGGGATGCTGCGCAATGTACAAGATACTCTTGTTATTTGGCTAAGTTGCTCTTGACTCTTCTCTCTACAAACTCGGACCCGAGGAGAGGGGCTGGTCTTGTAGCAGGCACCCAGGGACCCTTGGAGGTGACCCGGTTAAGTTTAATGGAGTCTTTATAACCTGAGATTAGTAAGTCTTTACACCAGCAGGTCGTCCCGTACTCGCCACCCTTGTGGCGTCTCCTCGCATAAGCCAGCCGTGTCTCCAAAGTATCCATTACGCATGCGTCACCTAGAGCACCCACCATGGTGACTAACACAACTGCCGACCTACGAACACGATGTGTTGGGCGCAACATAGTCGACTGGATTAAAGGTAAGTCGCTTATTTGATCCAAGCTCACCGCACCATACGGACATAAGAAACACAACGATAGCTAGATTACTGGCTAGGCTCGGGCATGTTAGGGGTGATCTCTGCGTTTGTTCCTTAGTCGTTTGCTTGTGCTCTCAATACTTTTTTTTTCACGGGGAGATTAGGCTAGAGTTTGACTACCAAAAGTTCACAACAATGGTTGACAATGGCAAAACAATAGTAACTATATCAGGAGCTAATGTGCAAGCTGGTCGTCCGCCAGCGCAGCACGGTCAACCGCGTTCCAGTACTGCAAGGTGTAGAAGGGCCTAATAAACTCAAGCTATTAAGACTTTATCAAACTTAAAACCTCTCCTCGGGGTCACCTCCAAGGGTCCTTGGGTGCCTGGTACAAGACCAGCCCCTATCCTCGGGTCCGAGTTTGTAGGGAGAGGGATCAAGAGGGACTTAGTCAAAACAGCAAGAGTACCTTGAACGTCGCGCAGCGTATCATGCAGACCGTCGATTGGATAAAGCTGAGAATTTGCTATATCGAAGCTCGCTTCAAGAGCTTTAAAATTAACCAAGTTGCCTCGCGAAAAGTTCTGCCATTACGAAGTTATGGCTCGGACAGCGTTTGCCTAGTGTTGGTGTGCTAGCGTATTAGCGTTGACTCGGGTAGCATTCCGCCATCGCACCACGTAGAAACGAATTTCCAGGGAGCAATTTGCTTGAATCAAATTGACTATATCCAGGTACAAACAGAGAAGGAATACATAGTTCTAGCTAGCAAGGATATTGGGAATAAACCTGGGAACAACCAGGGATGATCCCAAATAATTCGAAGAAAAAGAAGCAACCTGGCTGGACAAAACAGCAGGTGGTAGGTTGGTAAACAACCTCTGGTTCTGTTTTTCCAACCTGGGAAAACAACAACCAGGCTCAGGTCCTAAAAAAACAGAACCTGATTTGTCTTTGCCCAACCAGCCAAATGCTGGTTCCACTGGTTTCCCCTGGCCTTGTAGCATGCAGATACAGACAAACAACATCCAACCTTCACCTAAATTGTACCCCTATAGTGCCTGCCCTGCTACACTATAGTCAACCAAACAAAACAGTACAATTTCGAGTTGGATAGAACTGAATCTGCACAATCAATTCAACCGAACCGCAAAGCTTCCATCTTGGGTTCCTTTGCGAGCTCGTCCTTTCTACTTGTACTCTTCATAGCGCATACAATGTTGTGCCGAAGCGCACAATGTCCGACTACCTGCAAATGCTTCAAGCAAAAATTGCGAAAGCATTTGCACCCAAACATTCCATTCACACCCAAATGCATTCGCACACGCACCTCGTACAAACAGACGGCAGGATTTCGTGCAAAGTGAATTTCCAACCAGCACACTCCCCCTCAGCTTGTCGGCTGCATCGCTATCATTCCATGCTAGTTCCACTGATGCGCACACAACGCCAATGAGGCTCACCCGCAAGCCTCTTGGTGACGAAGTCTGCTGGCTGCTGGTGAATCTTGATGTAGATCT